TACGCACCAAACCGTAACCATCGCATGAACTCCTTAAACCGTGCGAGTTCTCTCCGTGCGACCGACGTCAACCAGCTAGCCGCGGTGATGACCTGCGCCACCATGTCCAAGCATTCGCGGAGCTCCTCCGAGTTGAACTGAAACAACGCGTAGACGTGCGGTCTATCGGTTGCAGAATGTCAATCTCTGATGGAAGTGCAGCAAGAACCCACTGACAGTTGCGACAAGCCCAGGACTTGTTCTAATACAAGATGAAGACGTTGACAGGCCGGCGCGATACGTTGCTCGGACTGATCTCGCAGCTTGACCAAGGCGCTTGTCACGTTGTTCTCCCATTTCGAAAGCCCCTGTATGGCGAGTCAATGTCGAGATGCATTGTGAAAGAAGATGTATGCTTACTCGGTCGCTCATTTGCTCGCCCGCTCCGATGAAATCGCTGACGGGCTCGGTAGATCGCTCCGTGGCGAGCAGTTGGAGAAGGTCGATTTTTGCCCATTCCAGACCCATTGCTAAGTTTTCTATGAGCGAACGCAGGCGCTGTTATTCGTACACTATGAACATACACTCGTAGTTTTCCGGTTGAAGATCCGCCAACTTGGTAAGCCACTTCAAGCCTGGAGCTCTTGCACCAGGCTGAGATCCAGATCCCATCCATACAGTGCGAAGATCGTCAACGATTCGGTAAGCATGTAGACAGAGTTGATGGGCAGCTGAAGACAGCCGCGCCACGTCGCGAGGTATTCGTGAAGAGAGCAACGCGAGATCGACTTCAGCGGGCAGCAGCGACGTGAACGAATGCAAAAGAGTCTTGTCCATATGAGATTGAAAGGCCAATAGGGCGCGAGAACCTGGCGTTTTGACCAGCGTCACAATACTTGCATCCGAATCAACGTTAACGAGACCGAGAGGATAGGTCCCGTCAAGGAAGAGCTGCATCGATCCTGAGTCGTCCACAACAGCGAGTATACTGTTTGAGTTGATGTCATCACTCTCGTCAAGCCCTTCATCCTGAAGCTCTCTCGTTTTTCTTTGAGGCTGTATCGACGCTGAGAGCTGATCGGTAGGTAATGTTGGCCACGAAGTAAAGGCATCGGGTAACTTGTCCGAGGCAGGTTTGGTTTGTGTCGTACGAAAACCAAAGGCATCCGGCAGCCTGCAAAGGCATTGTAGCAATCAGATGAAGCTTTGTAGAAACTGCCTCTTACCCAGTCGACTGCGCAGTCTCCGTGATGTTGTCTAGCAAGGGTAGCATTTTCAATACCGATAGTGTCGTTCCAGTCTGCATCGATGGTTAGCTTCAGTATTTCCAGAGGTACAGATGGTCCTACTTCTACACCAGAGCGCTTGAACATGTCAGGTATTGCGCTAACGGCCGCCTTCTTGTCCTCAGTGAACCACCAAACGCCAGTGAGACTAGCAATCGAGTCGAAGCCTTGAGCCAGAGGTATCTCTCGCTCCAGTTTCCCGGTCTGAATAGAGTGACACGCTATGCGCGGTGGGTCATGCACTAGAACAATCGTTTGGCCTGCAAGCTGTCGTTGAGCGGACTGAACATCATTCACCAGAGGTATCACTTGCAATCCGGACTCCACGTCATGTCAACCACCATTTCGTCTACCGTGAGACCGAGGTCAATATCGACATCCCATTTCTTAGATCCCTGCAGTTTCCACAGGCTCATGCGGTCTTTGCCGCCAAGAGTCGAAAATACGACGACCAGATCTTTGTCCGGACAACACGAATTGGACAGCAGGCGGGAGGATGGCGGCACATGTATTGCCGCAAGTGATGCGACGCCCACAGAGTCAGCCATACTATGTACGACTTGGAAAGTGGTACAGATCTTAGGGAGACAGATGAGGGTAACCGGACGAAGATGAGCGTCGAAGACAAACGCTCATGCATACTGCAGAGCGCGACGCGACGCGTCTCGCCAGAATCCCACGTGCACGCAACCACGCGCGTTACATTTGTACAACACGAGGCTCAGAAAGATAACACTATGAAGCAATAGCTACACGATGAAAGCAGATACGAAAGCTAGAAGAATGTGGGTGTCGCGTAAGAAAGTCACTACTTCGCTTTTCTCTTACCGCCCTTCTTCATACCGCCAACCGTGTCACCCTTTTTAGCGCGTACGCCCTCACCCTTCGCCCGCTGACCCATATCACTCTCAAATGCGCCGGCCTTCTTTTTACCACCCTTCTTTGCACTCTTCTTATCACTCTTTTTCTGTCTATCCGACTTGGGCTCCGGAAGGCCCAACTTCGTCGGGCGCGAAGACTTTTTGACGGAGCGGATGGCCGCGTCTACACCCTTGCGGTTCGACTCGGCTTCATCTTCCTCCATTGCCATCTTTCGTCGTTTTACGCGCCGAGTAAGACCGGAGAACTTGTCACGCTTGGGCTGTACGAGTGTTAGATGTGCTTTAGTAATATTGATTGAATGGGATTCACCTTGGCTTCGGCGGCGGCAGCGGCGGCCTTACCCTTGGCAGCCTTGTCAGCAGGGAAGCCTTTCTCATACTGCTCCTTGCTCAGCGCTTGTGCGATGTCAGCAGAGCATGCAAAACAGAGAGACGATGGCATACCAGCTGAGTTGGCTTTGTCCTTGCCTGTCTGGAACCAAGTCCGTGCAGGGCGCGAAAAGATTTCCTTCTCGTGCTCGAGCATGTTCTGGCCCTTGGTCACCTCCATCTCGGCTCGACGCAGCTACAACCATCGAATCAGCATACAGCACGGATGCTCTTGCCAAGTACCGCACCTGCTTCTCCTCCTTCTCTTCACGCATAACAGCGGCGATCTCGTTCTTCAGCGAATCAAGTTTCTTGGCCCACTTGCTGACGACCTCGGTGGGTACTGTCCGGTGCCGGACCTGGTCTTCCCCCGACGCATGCTTGATCGCCGCTTTGAGCATTTTGCGGTCCGCTTCGCCGACGAGGGTGACGGACCTAGACGGAATAGAGTAAGATAGAGAGATCGAGCCAAACTCTAACAGTCAATACGTACCGGCCCTTCTTCCCAGCGCGAGCGGTACGGCCAACTCGATGCAGGTACTGAGCCAGCTGACCCGGCATATCGTAGTTGATGACTGTCTCGATGCCTTTGATATCCAAACCGCGAGACGCCAAATCTGTAGCCATAAGGAAGTCGGCTTTGCCGTCCCTGAACTGCTGAAGCGCTCTAAGGCGCTAGAATCAAGACCACTGTCAGTGCGCTGTCATGGAACATCAGAGCGGGGACTTACCTGTTCCTGCGAAAGGTCCCCATGCAGTTCCTCGCACGACATGTTCAAGAGCCCGAAGACAATGCGCAATTGGTGCGCGAGCTTCTTGCTCCGCACGAAGATGAGAGCGCCAGACTTGAACGTTCTCTTGCACAGAGCGGCGAGAAGGGCAGATCGATCGGACTCCTTGCCAGAGCGCACGCGCACAAACTCCTGCACTAGACCCCTGGCGGTGCTGCGTTTGGGGTCGACGAAGAGCCGAACAGGCTTGTTCAGGGACATCTTGACAAGCTCGTCGACAGAGTCCGTCATGGTTGCCGAGAAGAGCATAGTCTGACGGGACGTCGGGCAGGCATTGATGATCTCCGTAAGCTCGTCGTGGAAACCGTCGGACAGCATCCGGTCGGCCTCGTCGAGAACGAGGATATCGAGGGCGTCCAAGGAAAAGGAAGGCGAGTTACGCAGGTGATCGATGAGACGTCCGGGAGTCGCAATCAGTACATCTGGTCGAGCGCGCAATGCCACCTCCTGTGCCTTCAACGACAATCCACCTTCCAAGTCCGTCAATTTCCAATATGCGCATATATGCAATGTTGCGTACCAACGATGAGACAGAATTGGATGTCTGTATGCGTTGCTAGCTTCTTGCCCACGTCGTAACACTGCACAGCCAATTCTCGCGTCGGGACCAAAATAACACAGCGCGTTGCAGCCGCCTTCTTGCCGCGTTCACGATATAGTAGACGCTCAATCATAGGTATGATGAAGGCGGCAGTCTTTCCAGAGCCGGTCACAGCATTTCCGACGATATCCTTTCCGAGCAAGGCGACAGGGATTGTGGCAGCCTGGATAGGCGTAGGAGAGTGGAAGCCAAGGGTCGTTATGGCCTTGAGCAAAGGTCTTGACAGGTTCATAGTCAAGAACGATGAATGTGCCTCAGATGGCGCAGAGTCTGACGCAAAGAACGCAGCCTTCCGCGCCTTTTCTGCCGCAGTCTCCTCGTCGCTTTCGTCTGCAGACGAAGCGCCATCCTCGCCCTCGACCTCACTCCCCTCAGCGTCTTCTTCCTCATCCTCATCACTACTGCCTGCAGCTTCATCCCCATCCCCATCTTCTTCTCCGGATGTCGCTAATAGGTCCTCGTCCTCCTCGTCAATCTCCGCGAGCATCTCATCCCCATCTTCGCTCTCTTCTTCGTCTTCATCACTATCACCCTCGCCTAATGACCCTTCGTCGGAAGAAACTTCGTCTTCGTCCCCCTCATCTCCAGCATCTCGTTTTCGTTTACCCGTGATCTTACGAGCGCGACGCTTCGCAATAATGTCATCTACGGATATGGGAGCCTGCATTACGGCTCAGGAGATTAACATAGCCGTGATGAGATGGCAACGCACCGGCTTGGAGCCCTTCTTGACAAAGTCATCCACGTCAGCCATACCACCAGTCAAGTCAGCGTAAGGGTCGCCAGAGAAGTCGAACGTAAACTCGGGATCGAGCTGCACATCTTCTCCCTTCGAGGGTTTGGCCGCACTCGGCTTGGCGACAGGTGCAGCGCCCTCGTCGTCAGAGTCAATAGTCATGATGAGGTCGTCGACTGCCATTTTGGCGAGTACGGAACGAGCAAGCAGTGCAAGAACCCAGAGTCAAGTCGGTCCAACGCAGAGCGCGTTCTGCGCGTCTTGCAAAATCTGAGATTGAGGAGTTCACGTGCAGCGCGTCAGAAGATGAAGTAAGTAAAAGCAGAATATACTGGAGCGTAGATATCAAGACTTCAAGCTGATATGGCCGAGTGGTTAAGGCGAGTGATTTGAATATCTCAATATCACTTGTGCATTGCACGCAGAGGTTCGAACCCTCTTGTCAGCGTTCTATTTTGCCGTCCGCTTTTTAGCCGAACGCCCGCGCAATTCAGGACGGATTCGGTATCTTGAATTATAACATTTTTTGCGGTACTGATACGACACGTCTTCCAAGCGAATGATGCACTCAAGGGGCGCATGACATAGATGGAAGACTGCACTTGGGGCGTACTTATTTGCCAACGCGGCCCGTTTCTCGCTCGAGTGGACGATTGTACAGGAATGACGCTCGCGCATTGATCCTTAGGGCAAATGACAAACATATCTTATTTAGGTAGTCCGTGTGCCAGAAATCATCACGAAACGAGCACCCAGAGCCTGTAGTAGTGCTATTCCCTTGGCGAGCAGCCTGAACGCAAGCTTCTGCGTCGATAAAAATCGCACGAATCCAGGAAATACATCCTCCGTGATATCTTCCATCGTTACGTCGGTGTACCCCATACTCTCCATCCCAGCGACATATTCCGATTTTGACTGGACATTTGCGCGAGGCATGGCGCGCAGAATTGACGAAAGGATGAATGCCACCAAGCTTGACGGTGCAGTGTCGAAGCAGATGTCTGCTAATGCGATGCGCCCGCCTGGTCGAAGTCGCTCATAGCTCTGCAAAAGGAACTTGCGCCGGGTGTCAAAGTGATAGGCGCAATCAAGAGCCAGAATAGCGTCAAATAGCTGCGCTGAGTCTGGGGATAGAGGATGCCTCTCATCATTCCGCCAAACTGCATCTCCCTGGAATAGCTCGACCTGCGTTCGAGCGGCAGGTGTCGGGTTTGAGGAGAGTAGCTGGCTTACTCGCGCTTGAGATCGTCGATAGTGCGCTGGAAGACTGGTGATACCATAAAGACTGTCCAGAGGTGGTATGTCTGGGTGCGAGAGGAGCACAATGAGGGAGTCCCCGCAACCATGGCCAACGTCTAAACGGCGCAAATCAGACTGTGTGAGCGACACGATAATCGTTCACATACCCAAAACGTTGTCATGATCTCTCAGCCCTGCAGCTTTGGACAGAAGCAAAGCTAATGCTAAGGCACAAGATTAGAACACTCATGTGGACGACGGCATTCACAAGTACCTTCGCACGCCTTTGGAAAGCTGTTCTCAGTCTATATGCGGTGTCACACCGGCACATCAACGGCAAAAGTTGAGCAGTCATGTACCTTCCAGTATCCCATGTTTAGCCATTCAGTAGAAGGTCTCCCAGAATCGTCGCTGGTTTTATTTAACACCAGATGAAAGTCGCCGTATGGGTCATTCGTCTTGGGCGCCCCTCGAGACGCATACATCACTATGCACATCACGACCAGAGCACAGGTTATCCAGATTAGCATTATATCAAGTTATAATGTTCACTGCCGGATCATTACGAGGCAGGAGGTGGTGGTTGGGAACAAACGCCGGAACGCGACGCGGACGCGCGCCATGGAGCTCTTTCACGCGTGTCTGCTCCCTTCGCATCTTGCTCTTGACCATCACTCGACCATAAGTCCCCATCTGGACACTCCTGCCAACATGTCAGGTCCCGATCCAAAAGAATGGAGCACACTCAGGCTCTTCGCCCTGCGCTGCCTTGACCACGTACGAGGCTCTTGAACTGCGAGCCCTGGAATAACCCGTGCCAACACCGCTCCGCGCGTACTTAGAGCAACCTCACGATCATAGGCGCGACGGCCGCCTTCCTTCTCTATACGCGATCGGCGGGAGTGGCGTACTTTGCTGCAGGCGCGGTGTCATGCTCGCTCTCGGTCAAGGTAGTGAAACGCTTGATTCGACAAGAACGTCCCGACCCTATCTACCGCAAGGTCAAGAAGAAGTCTTATGGGTACGTTGCGAGCTTCTGCCAGTCGGGTATGTATTCATCAGGGCTTTATGTATGCAGCATGCCCAGCACGCACTCTGCGTCTATTGCCTATTTCGCTAGTGAGCCGAAGCTCTCTGCCTTGCAATGAACCTAGGCTGAACAGTCGCGCAGCATATATTCCGCTTGCGTGCGCGTATCTTCCGTTACATCCATCCTTGCCACAAAGCCTGTACATACGGACGCTTCCGCCTGTTCTCATCATGCCCTGCGCGTCGCTCATTGCGGTCTCGCGCATATGGCTTGGGCATCATACTTGGCCGCAGGTAGCGGTTGGGTGCGCATATGGAGTCGGATGGGCATGCTTGATCTTCAAGCTTTGGACAAGCGGACTGAACGAATATGGGGCTCTCGTAGACGACTTCGTTCACGACGTTATAGGCTTATAGATGATGTGGATTAGCCCATGAAGGGTGCTCATATACAATGCGTGGTAGTGAAGCAAATGCGAGTGACAAGTGAACAATGCAAAGAGACGTTTTGCCCTGCAGGTAGTGTTAGTCGGTACAGGCCAGTGCACATGCGTAATAGTCCACGTACTGCTACAGATCATGCATGTGTTGGTGCATCCTCCGCGGTCGGGTACTTGCCCTTCCATTTCCGGTTCAAGACAGAGTAGCAGTTTGCGCATAGGTGATGCGACAGTTTCGCTGCACCGCAACCCGGGCAGTTGACAATGTCTGCATACTCAGTCAATGACGTTCTAAAGCGTGTAAATCAATAGGACATACTGAGCTTGTCCTTCAAGCCCTTGTTCGCACTACGCATGTTTTTTCGCGAGTGCGAAACCTTCTTCTTGGGCACAGCGAGCAGCCATGGCGGGAAGAGCTCAAGCAAAGAACCCAATGAAGGGATGCTCCATCCCAGCGAGCTCGGCGCCAGCGCCGCCGGCACCGCAAGAGAGGCCGACAGAGAGAATCTGCGGAACAGCGAGGAGAAGGATGTTGCGGGCCGGAAAGCGATGGAGGCCATGGTGGAGGATGCTGGCAAGGCGCGCGAAATGCAAGTCGCGTCGGCGCGTCCCGCGTGTCCGCCTTCTCTACGTTCGCCCACGACCAGCCACCCACCATGTTCCGCTTCACAAGGCCACTCCTCCAGGTCTCCAAGCTCTCAACCGGTATCACCGGCGTACCCGTGCACAAGAACCCATTACCCGCGCTCTCCAAGCTGTACGAGAACACGCTTGCCGGGCTCGCAACCCTCCCGGAGCACTCCGTCTACCGCCAGGGCACAGAAGCCGTCGTGCGGCACAAGCTCAACATCCTCAACTCGGCCAACGGAGATATTGCAGCTGCGGAGAAGGGCTTGGACGAGGGACAGATTGAAGAAGCACTACAGATTGCAGAGGACGAGCTCAAACTGGTCGGCAAGGTCGCGGAGTGGAAGTCGTGCGTCTATCTCTGCTCCAGGCAACGTGACAATAATGCTGACGTGTTTGTGCAGATGGGAGCCGTTAGAAGTCAAGCCGGATGCAGGACAGTGGGAGTACTTTGGGAAGCAGTCCAACGCAGCATGATGTTGTACGCCGGCGCATGATACATCTTTCTGCTTTGCCCTCGCGAATATACGCACAGTGACATAGACCTCATAAGTTTCAAAGATACCGCAACACATTGCTGGTCGTGCACTTCAGCGAAGCAATGGGCCTGCTTCCATGCCCAAGGCGGCATACGGTTGCGAATGAACTCTCTTGAAGTTCATTCTTGTGTGATGCTCAATGCAAGCAAATGAGAGCGAATGTCTTCGTAATAGATGATATTTCATAATAAGTAGGGGATACGGAATGGTACAGGCATGAGTGTATGTATATCGACACTTCTTGTCCCCCGTGAACAGATTCGTAAGAATACCACGGCAAACTACACAACGGTCGGCTCTTCTCGTTCTATGCCCTCTGGAAAGACGCAGAGACGGGCGTGTAGCAAGCGTCTCGGCGGCTAGTAAGAGGGCAAGCACTACGATGGGTAGGGTCGGGGATAGTCGGAGACATTCGAAAGGTGCAAGGAGTATAACATATATGCATAGGATAATATAGACTACCGTAAGTACAGAGCGAGGATTCGATGCGGGATGGGATGGTCGAGGACGAGGTGGTCGTCCGAAGCAAGATTGAGTCCGCGAATTTTCAGACGGGCGCTTATATACCTACGCGCGTGCGCTCGCCCGAAAGACCGGACTCACCTCAACTTGACCCGCGCCCGCATCTTTCATGGACTCGCTGATCCCATTCACGACGTCCGGCTCGCTGGTCGACTGTGTGGACAGTACGTCTGTCCGCGCTCGCTCCCGCACCGCTCTCCGCCCATCATGATTCCCGCTCTCTCCCTCTTCGCCGCCCACCCTGCGCTCTCTAGGGAAGATGCTCGTCGTCTTACGCGACGGCCGCAAGTTGCACGGCGTTTTGCGCTCGTATGACCAGTTCGGTAAGCGCTTAGACTTTCTCCTTGGGGAATATGAAGTTGACGCACGCGAAACAGCAAATCTCGTGCTCGAGGATACCGTCGAGCGAATATACTCCGGGAACACATATGCAGAACAACGATGCGGTCTATTCCTGATCAGAGGGGAGAATGTCGTATTACTCGGCGAGATTGTATGTCGATATATCTTGTACTTGTTGCTACCATACTGATGCGCGTTGCAGGACCTCGATCTTGAAGATGACGTACCTCTGCAGCAGGTCGACTTCGCAATGCTCGACGAACATCACCGGGGTGAAACGGCAGAGAAGCGCGTGCAGGAGGAGGCAAAGGCGAAGGTCCTTTACGAACAAAAAGGGTTCTGCAAGGAGGGCGGTGAGGGCGATAGCTATTGAGGAGCGCCCATCATCTCGTATTTTCTTTCTATCATCTCGACACAGCTCCCCGGCCGATTCATTACGCTCTAGGGGAGCCGGCTCGTACTCTCGATCTTGCTGCCTGTATCGTTCCGGCAGACATTGTATTGTACTAGCTAGTCTGTACACCACGTTCGGATCCTGCGAAGATCATAGCTTGGCGGTACCCGAGCTTGGGCTCGCCTCGTTCACGAAGATGCCTGCGGCGCCCATGCCAGATCCGATGCACATGCTTGTCAACAAGACCTGCTCATTTCGGCGACGCAGCTCTGCAAGACCAGTCACGACTTGTCGTACACCGGTCATACCCAGTGGG